ATGTGACTTTTGGATATAGTTTATTAGTTAATACCATTTTAAAAAGCCAAATAAAATGCCTTCTCTGGTGGAGCAAAGGGTTAAAGCACAGCACTATGAAGGGATCAGCAGCCACTGCAACACAAGTTCGATTCCCAGCCATGAAAGTGACCCACATGGCATGACAGACCTCTCTCCTGACCCAACTCTGTGTCTGGGAAATACTTTCACCTCCCCTGCCCCTCTGGCCTATACCTCAGTTCTTGTATGCATAAGTAAATAAATCTTTAAAAAATAAATAAAGCCAAATAAAGATTGGTCAATTTTTCAAAAAACTTGCAGTAAAACAAATCAATATTTGCTTTTACTACATTTTTCAAATCTTTATTTGAAAGTTAAAATATCTAATGTCTCAGTAAATAACAATATTTCAAATTTAAAAAGCAGTTACATTAAAACATATTATCTCAGCAAGTATAATCTAACTTCAGCAGTCAAGATATGGATTTCCAGGACAAGTTGAAGATAACAATGTTGACCTAAAGTCCAAGAGAGATAATCCCACGATACATAACATGACAGCAAGAAATCAACTAAGTCGGGGTGCAAGCAAAATTCTTGGCTGACTTGCTTGAGGAAATCCTTATTTTCAGTTACTTTATAAATTCTCATTCTAGAGTATATGCTATAGAGTAAGGGCTGTCACAGTCTTCACAATTCTATATTGTGTCTTCCAACAGAGAAGATAATTTGTATTTCCGCTCTCTGACTTAACAAAATATCTTAGTGGTAAAAGGGACACTATTTTAAGTATAGAAGGAAAAGACAGGGAAATAAACATGTTTTAAAATTAAGCTGATCTGTAATTACATAAATTGAAATTTTCTTTAATTATTCATAAATTAGATTTTATTTTTGTACCTAACTACATGATTGTTTTCATATTTCAGTATCTCGTTAAAAGCAAAGTGTCTCTCATTACAGACACTCACATAATGGTAAACATTTTGAGCGAAAGTAGAAAAATAAATATATAATTTGTTTATTTTTACTTTTCATTTTATGAGGACATACATTTACACTTGAACACATTAGAAGAAGATAATTTAAAAAAAAAAAAAAAACAATGGGGGTTTCCCTGATGGCCTATGGGTTAAGTCTTAAACCTATCACTAGAGCTGCCTGAATTCAACCCCTGACAGGGAGCTGACCCACATATGGGGAGCAGACCTCTCTGTCTCCCCTGCTGCTTCCCTTAGCAGTGTATTTCAGTAGATCTGACTGTTCTGCACCCCCACTCTGTCTCTAGTGAATCCTAGCACATCTGGCCTGCACCCCAGTTCTTCTACACAACAAATAAATCTTTAAAAAAAGGAAACAAATGTACCAATACCAGAGAAATCAACAACTCAGCAGTTAAAGCAACAGAGAAAGAACACAAGTAAAAAGATTATAACATTTTTTGCAGTTACTGATTTTAGCTGTTAATTTGACTCTGACATCCCTGGTAGCTATATAAAAATACAAATATGATTGGTGGCATGACTTACATATGTATACGAAGTAAACATACTAACCCCAAAATGGTTTCAGTAGAGGTGGTGTGAGAGTTTAATGCATAAAATTGGCATTGAAATAAATGTTTTTAGAAGCATATAAAGAATAGTAAGTTATGTGTTGTCCAAGTCTTTGCAATATCCCTATGTTGAAATAGAGCATATTGTGTAATCTGGGTTTTTTCTTTGTTTGTCTGTTTGGTTTGGTTTTGTTTTTTTTTCACTCAGAGTATTTGTGTAATATAAAATTATATTAAAGGCAGTTCTGTTTGGAGCATGTCTATACAGTACCTCCCACACATTTACTTTTTTAGTCCTTTAGATTGTCATAAAAAATAAAGCACAGACTATATAAAAAAAATAGGTTAGGCCCTCCCTGGTGGCACAGCAGGTTAAAGCACTGCACTGAGAAACTGAAGCCACTTCTGCATGAGTTCGATCCCCGCCTGCCCCGGAGGTGACCACATGGCGTGGCAGACCTCTCCTGACCCGCCCGCTGCTCCCCTCAGCAGTGTACTTCGTCGATCTGCCTGTTCTGCTCCCCACTCTGTCTCTGGTGAATCCTCTCACCCTCCGCATCTCTGGCCTGTACCCCAGTTCTGTATGAATAAATAAATAAATCTTTAAAAAAAAATAGGTTAATCACATATACTTTGTAAGAGTATCCATATAATTCATACCTTACAACAATTTTTTTATAATAAAAGTTGAAAAGCTGACATTGGCAAAGGACTTGAAGTATATTTACTCTTCATAAAACTTTGGCAATGGAAAATAAAAAGTTATTAATCTGTCTGCTTGAGTAGAGATTTTTTGGAACTTGCCATGTAGTTTTCAATGTATCTCATCAAGGGTAGAGATCAAATATCATTTATCTTTGTATTCCAGCATCTAGCTGGAGTTCATTATGCTTTCCTGAATAAACCACTTTGCAGACTTTCCAGAACATCACCATTATTGATATAGCATGAAAAGATCAAAGGCATGCACTAACACAAAAGAAACCAATTTATATCAAAACTATTCCTGGCTTAATTTAAAAGTTAACTGAAATTAACTATTAACTGATTACATAAAACCATACAGAGAAAAATTAAAAACCTCCATCTATGGATATATAGATCTATATGTAGTATCAATGACATGATAGGTCAACATTTACACAAATGAGCTAAAAAATAATGACCCTATCCTACTTTCTAATTTAATTGAGAATTAGATCCACCATGTTCATATTTTAAAAATTAAATCAAAATGTTTATTTATAGACCATCTTTATAGCCATAAAGTGATAAGATAAAATCTTCAACCATGATAACAACTTTTTGGTGTAGGGGCCATATATTGACAGTAAAATCATGTAAATTAGTTCTCCTTTTTTGATCTGGGCTTTCAAAGAAAATGGGTGAATGTAGAACACAATATGGAAATACTGAATGTAATAAATTGTAGAATGTGTTTAGACAATGTCAAAATCGAATTCAAATGTCAAATCCATAAGTAACTGGTCAATGATTAATTTATGATCTAATTTGAACAGATTATTCTTGATACAGCCTAAAATCATACATAGGTAGAAGAAAATTACCTCTTTCCTCATATTCTAAGAGTAACTGTATATAGCAGACACAATATCTCTAGCACTTGCCACTTGAGGTGTGGTCTTGAGAGAAGTAACCTCTGGCATCACCTGGGGTATTGTTAGAAATGTATTATTTGAGAATCAAACTCACACTTTCAGAATAAGAATCTGCATGTTAACCATATTCCCAAAGGATTCATAAGCCAATAAGTTGCAATAAACTCTGCTTTAATACATGATACCAAAGAACAATTTGATTTTTAGCTATGAACATGTTACTATAAGAATATGCTTCTTTTACTTTCTCTTGGTGAAACAGATATTACAGGATGTTTAGTAGTTTAAAAATGAATAGGATTTTGGGCCCTTCCTGGTGATGCAGCGGTTTGAAGCACACCACTGGGACTAAAGCCACTTCAGCATGAGTTCGATCCCTGCCTGCCCCAGAGGTGATCCACATGGTGTGGAAGACCTCTCCTGACCTGCCTGCTACTCCCCCAGCAGTGTACCTCATTGATCTGCCTGTTCTGCTTCCCACTCTGTCTTGGGTGAATTCTCTCACCTCCCTGCACTTCTGGCCTGTACCCCAGTTCTGAATACACAAATAAATAAATCAAAAAAAATGAATAGCATTTTGACCAGTTCCTATGCAAAACAATACAGAAGTTCCTCAAATACTGAAAGTAGATAAACCAGGGGGGTCCAATAATTCCACTTCTTGGTGTTTATCTGAAGAATGCAAAAACACTAATTTGGAGGCATAGCTACTTTTGTATATTCATTATAGCACTCTTAATGACTATAATGTTTGCCTTCGTTATTGACCTGTAACACACATTTGTATTTTGTTCTTAGCATATTTTTCTGTGAATGAAGACCCAACTCTATATATTCATTTTCCCCAACCACTGGCTGCTCAATAATTCATAAATTGAATGTCAATTTTAAAAATCTACAAGTGATTGCAACTTGTAGGTTGTGGATATAGTATCCAAACATAAACAGAATTTGAATCTCAGAAACCGAATTTGGAATATGACAACACCCCTAATTACAGAGGAAGGAAGAGTATTTGTTCGTATTGTTTTGTTTCTCTGTCAATCGGTTTAGGCTTGCAATGTATATAACGTTTTCATTATTGTTGAGAAAACGTGTCTCACAACTACACCAGCGCTTTACCTGAGCTGTTCTCACTGGGTGGCTTATAGCTCATTTTGAGGAGCGAGCTCTCACTACGCAATGCTTCAGCACTACGGACAGCGCCTAGGCTCCTGCTCCTAAGAAAGGGAAAGGATTTCTTTTGGTTTGCGCACCAGAGGAAAAAAATAGAAGAGTAGGGGAAAACAACTCAAAATGACGCATGCAGTCCCCAGCTAAATCAAAACACCTTTCATTCCCCCTTTCCCTTATCACACGAGAAGAAACACCTACGATTTTAAGGGATACTCCTCGACTGAGACTAAGGTTACTGAGTACAGTTAAATGCCTATGGCAGAGCTATTAATGCAGAGAGAGGAAAAACAAGATTTTAACAATAAACTAATTGAACCCCCACTGCCCTAGAGAGCCAAGGGGATGGCGAATTCCGATTGCTACCTGCAGAGTGTTATATGAGTGAAAATGAGCGCTTTTTTCTTTTTCTTTTTTTTTTAAAGAATAGAGCCTGTTGCTGTTCTGGTTGATTCCCTCCCCCCTTTAGGTTTCCTCCTCTTCTCTCTCACATACCACCAGACACCCCCACATACACACAGACACCCCCACGTAAATATTTACATATTGCCACATCGATGAAATCCGTGCACATTTTGCTGCGAATACACTCCAGCGCGTACACGTACTTTGCGTACGCCCACATCCTCTGTCTCTCACTGACAGAACACAGACATTTACAAACGTAGGCCAGGAAAGCGCTAACCTCGGCCCTGTGGCTTCATGCAGGTTCCCAGGACACGCCTATTACATTGTTACTGAACCGATCAGCAGAGACAAACCTGCCAACATTTTGTCTACTCGCTGGATTTCATCTCCATGGCAACAAGCATGGAAGGTGAGACGTTGCTGCCTGAGAAACAACTTTCTCCCCCTACCCTCTGCATTAACTGACAGTGTTCCAGTGCAGGTCCAGATAAGAAGCCTGTCCTCATTCTCATGTATTTTTGAAGCTAAGGAGCTGTAAGGGGAGGCTGGGGGAGGGAAGGGGAAGGAACCTGCAGATCTAGTGAGTTCAAATTCTAAAGGAGATAGTTCTAATGTTTCTACTGCTGAAGAAAAAAAAAAAAAAGGATGTGTCGTGTATGTACAGTCAGATTGCTGATGCTTCTCCCATAATGTTTTGCAGGTTTCCATTCTCTTCAGTTTAATTATGTCCAAAGAAAATTGGAGACAAACAAAGCAGAATGATAAAGGCTATTTAGGTTTCTCTAATAAGACATTTTGAGCATTTTAAAACCAGATTTGCAGTAATTGAAAGCAAAGAGTGTCAGTCTTTGAGGAGTCACCCAAAGATTCACTTAAGAGAAGGGGTGTCTAAAGGGTAAAATCTTAAAGGTTAGAGGGAGATTGTGGAAGATTGCAAGGCTTTGAATCCCTGGGAAGACCTGAAATTTATGTACTTCATCAAGATGAAGACTTCTGGGTTTGTAATTTAGGATTTTCCTTTGACTATGGCACATCCCATTTCTAATAACTGACTAGATCTGTGTAAATGTGACCTTAATAATGCTTCTTTTTCCTCTTTACTTTTAATAGGCTTTAATAACCTTGATAATTGGTGTGGGGTACATATGTGTATGTATAAGAGATTATTTTTTGAGCTTAGGTCTTCTTATATGTCTCACTTCATGAGATTATGGCTTGTCTTGATTAACACTAGAGATAATTACATCTAATAACTACTATCGAAATACTTGTTACCAGGAAATCCTATTCCACTATAGCAGTTGCTATTTCAGATACACTGTTTGGAATATCATCTATAGATAAACAAGAGAAAAAACCTGTTGATTAAAATAAAATACTGAAGTTTCTTTTTATTAAGTACATACTTTTCACTATTGGTTTCTGCTTTTACATTTTGACAGAGGTAAATAAGTACTTTTTTCCTGAAAATTAAATTTTTATAACTCCACTTAGTAAACATATTTGACAAAAGAAAAACATCACATACAACATTCATGTATATGAAAAGCTATAAATTAATTATAAATCTGTACTTACATTAGTTTGACCACTACAATGGTATGATTCATATGACTGTGTATATCATTGGTTACTAACTCAAAACAACTCAAGATATTTGGGTCTTTTTGTATCGGCAAGTATACCTTTAACCCAGTCCTAAGATTTGCCATAACTTAAAAATGCCAGTTCCTGCAATACCTACAAAGGGAATTATGTGTTTTCAAATTTGTTGCTCTTTTCTAAGCTACCTGAACATTTATCCTGGTGTATATGATTTGAGGGAATATTTTAGCATTTGTAGTCATATTGAAAAAGTATACTTCAATTGCAAAATATACAGGCCCTACCACTTAACTGGACATTTACCCCCCTTTTTTTTTTGTACTATAGCATATTAAAATAACTTAACCACTACCAGTTTTATATTTTACCATCATTTGACTATTTTTTTCTCATAAAGGCTTATAATTCACATCATTAAAAAATTTCATAGCCCAAGTTCATCTCATATTTCTTTTATTATCCTTTTCCTAGTAAACAGGATGTTAACATGATGGTTTTTCCTCTGAGGTAGACACTTAAATATCTGCATTAGAACTGCTAATTTTGTTTTTATTTACCCATTTCTTCCAGAGATTAGGGAATGTGAAAATGTATTTTTCATCTATACTTGATGAATAGTCTAAGATTTCTATTTACTCTTAGCAATTTTTATTATTTATTATTTTTTATTATTAACAACCATCTCATGATCAGGAGCTGTAGGTTCATGATCAATTGATTTAATTAATTGTTTTTAATTTTAATTAAAATTAAGATATCACATGGGGAAAAAGTATTTTGCCTTTAATTTAGCACATACTTTCTGAATACTTCTATTATAGTTCTAGACTTTCATTAGTAAGAGCCTAGAGTGGGAATTTGGTTGCAGAAGAATAAGGGAGCTTGCTTGAAGCTGAATTTACATGAGATACATGCTGTTCACTTAAGTTTTCTGACTATTTAGGATATTCTAAAAACTAATGGTGATGTTAGAGAGATAGCTAAGGGTCTGCAACTTCTAATACTAGTTACTTCCGGCTGTTATGGTGGGTATTGCTCATACAAATATAATTTTAAAAAGCACAACTTCTTGTTAAGAAATTGACATTCAGTGTAGGTAGCAGCAGTGAAAAAGAAAATAAAGTAATGAAGGTCAAAAGCTAAGGGGATCAAAAAGAGAAAAGATAAAGTGTTTGTTTAAAAAGATCAGGACCTTTATCTGGCAAAATGGCATCAGAGATAGACTTTGAAACATGGACTGTAGAAAGCTTGACCAGCTCACACATCATGATTATTTATGGTGTTATTTACACATGGAAAATGAAATTAATGTTATGTGACAATTCAAGTGAATTCAGCAGTGACTTAAACAACTTGTTATGAATCCAGAGTTTTCAGGGTTACTTCAATATTGATTTTTACATTTGATTTTATATTTACTATGTAGACAAGGATAATCATCCACAAAGACAATTCTACGATTACTGTAGTTGAAATAGTATCTCCAATGTTAACTTGATTATGATCTATATATTATGATGTGTTCAAGCATTTTGAGTCAAGTCAAGAGGATTTGAAATATGCCAGATTTATAAAACAATCACCTGCCCAATAACATACATGGATAAAACTAAACTGAGTCCACTTTTGTATCTAGGACAAGAGGAGATTCCAGCAGAAATTCTGAAGACCCATGAGAATGTAACACTGAATAATGAGTAGTATTTACTGTGGCAACTCCTCAGCTAAGATGAGTGTCAATGAAGTCTCAGCTTTCTCATTAACGCTGGAACAAAAAACTGGCTTTGCTTTTGTTGGAATTTTGTGTATCTTCTTGGGACTCCTTATTATCAGATGCTTCAAAATCCTGTTAGACCCATACAGTAGTATGCCTTCCTCAACATGGGAAGATGAAGTTGAAGAGTTTGATAAAGGAACATTTGAATATGCACTTGCATGAGAGTTTCAGCTTTGTGGGTTTTAAAGTTATGTTATTGGGACACATGGTGGATACAATTGAATGTACCTTGAGTGTATTGGAGAGATGTTCATTTCATTCACTGAATTCAATCATTGTGTATGGTAAATTTATTCACCATGCTGGGCTCTTTGGTCTCCATATCAAGGTTGGTAAAGACAAGCGCTAAGATTGTTCCAGCCGTACATATCATCTTTGTCCTAGCATCTGCCTTGAAACTCTGCTTCCTTTTTGTGCTAGTGAATTGTACTGGAGGCTTCCTGCTCTGTCTCTGTGCAATGCCTAGGCATGGCCTTCACATTCTGGATTCCAGCCCCCTAATTTTGTGAATCAGGCACTTAGATGTAAGTGTTCTGCAGTCCAAAGAATAAAGAGAAAATGACATTCTAACAATAGCAATTAGTCAAATGTGTTTATTGGTGAAAAAAGATCTCAAAGAACTAACCAAATAAACACTACAAACACTAAAGCTTCACAAATCTCACAATGCCTTGGTCCATATAGCTCTCCTCCATCAAACCAGAGTCTAAGCCATAGTTGCTTCATACTGACACACCTTCTTCCTTTCCCTTTATAAATAGCCTTAAGTAGGGAGTTTTCAGCCTGACCTAGAGGGAAGAGTGTTCTACCACAAACTAGAAGTCCACTCTTTACTGTATACCATTATAACAACTCTTCCTCTAGTGAATTATGTAATCTCCATAGACTTCAGAGCTAACCAGAAGAGCTTTACTGTTCCTTTTAATGCTAGAAGTCCAGGAATTCAGCAAATGTACCTGGAAACCCAAGGATTGGAGATAAATGAAGAGTAAACTGTCGTGAAAAGTTTTTCAGTTTAGGAGTCTAAAATCAGAGATTTGAATTCTAATTTAACCAAGGACTAGATTTATAGCCTAGAAAGTTATCTATACTTATAAACAAGAAAGTTTTACACATCTTCAAAACAGAGATGAAGAAGCCTCTCCTGCATAACTTGCAGGAATGTTGAGAGGATCGTATGACTATGACTGTGGAAGTAATTTGGAAACCAGAAAGCACTGTTTAAACATGCCTTGCTGTCATTATTTATCATTCTCATTGGTCATGATAGTAAAGGTTTTCAAACCTCAAGAGCGAATGATTTAGGATAGGTATTCAGCTTCTTCACTTTCTATTTGATAAATGAAAAGATAAAATCACATTATTCAAAAATTCTTTCCAGCTACAAGATTGTGACTCTCCATGATCATTATAGGGAGAAAAATAGCAGAAGATAAAAACAAAAATATTTGTCATCTGAGAACACAGAAAAGCCAAACACAAAAAGAAATCAATAACATTTATTGAGTTAGCATTAAATTGGGTGCTTTCCATTTATTAATGTGATTTGATACACTTCTCAGTACTTTGACTTTCTTACTACTATTTACACTTTATTAATGTTATGTAACTGCCCAAGGTGATCAAGTTAGGGAGCAGTTATGTTAAGAATTGGCTGTGTTCTTAAACTTGGGCAATCTAATATTCTTGTCTGTAAGCATGCTGCTTTGCTCCTGGGCACGTTCTTATTTTACATATCTTACATATAAGTTGGTGGCACTACATAACCAGCTTTCTCAGTCAGATTCCTTGTTTGTTTCCATCTCCCCTGGCGGGGGGCCTCCCTGGTGGTGCAAAATGTTAAGTCTCATCACTATGAAGCTACTGCAGCAGGAGATAAATCCCCAGCCAGGGAGGTGACCCACATGGCACATCAGACCTCTCCTGTCTCACCTGCTGCTCCCCTCAGCAGTGTATTTCAGTAGATCTGCCTGTTTTGCAGCCTATCTCTGATGAATCCCCTCACCCCTGGCAACTCTGATGTACACTCCATTTTTTGTATGTGCGAATTAGTAAAAATATTTTTAAAATAATAAAATGAAACATATCTGCTGCCTGTGGGCCATCTAGAGCAAAACCATACCTCAATGAGGCTCCATGAACCCAGTAGGTACAGGAGTGTAGGCCTGGAACACCCAGGAAATAGTAATTTGGTCTAAGAGTTCAGGTCAGCTCAACTGCACACACTGAAAGTTTATATATCAAAACAATAGTCATCTCCTCTGTGACCCAGGCTAATAAAGTGCTCACTAAGATTGTATATATTATTACAATTTATGTATTACATATAGTTGTATAATTATCATATATAAAATTGTGTATTTCTATATATTATATATAAATATATATAATCACCTCTCCATTATGTAAAAAGGTTTTATACAGAGAGATCTGTATCAATAAAAAGCACTCACTAAGTTTTGTACCAGATGTCCCATGTGTCGGGAGGACACCACTAAGACCCCTCATTTTGGTGACTAGAAGGCAACAAGGCCATATCTTTATTTTGAAAAGATGAAAGGTCTCCTAAAACAAAAGAATAGAAAAGTTCATGATGTTGAAACACTGCTTCTGAAAGTTCAACACCTTCAAGCTTTTAGACATCACTCAAATCTACCATATTATATTATTATTTCTAATCTCACTAAAGAGAAATTCATCTAACCTAATATGTCTTCATCCAGGATGTTTATTTATGGCCTATTGTGTGTCTTAGACTTCTGGAAGGTTGGGAAGGGGAAGGAAAAGAAAGGTCAGTGTTTTTATTTTCAGAACCCTATACAACATGAAGAATATAAGGTCTAGTCAAAATATGAATTGAAAATTGAATGAATAGTAAACTTTACAAAGTGCTAATCCTTGTAGGAAAAGATTTGTAATGGCACAGCCAGATCAGTCTCTGGCTGTCCCTTTCCTAGACTCTAGTCAGGAAGGACAGGAGTAAAGACAGAGGAGCAGTACTCCACAGAATTCCCTCCTATCTCCTTACCCACTGTCTAAAAGGCTAAGTCAGGTTTATCTTTCAAGGTCATCCAAATTCCCCAAACATCTCCTGTCTGCCCCAGAATGTATGAATCCCCTCAACAGAGAACAAAAACTTTCATTTCACAGATATACAGGGCGTAGAATGAAAATGTCTGTTTGATATAATACCAAGGCTAAAACTAATTCACACTACACTGTATTCAGGCCATCAGGCAGCAGGTAAAGGGAAATTGACCACGATCAGAGGAGTTCACAGTCTTGGAACAAGTTCAAGAATAAACAGGTGGTTTCTTAAAAGAGAGGGGGGAGGGCCCTCCCCCTAGTGGCACAATGGGTTAAAACCCATCACGCAAGTGAGTTGCAGTCACTTCAGTGTGGTTTGATCCCAGCCCAGGAGGTGACCCAGACGGTGAGGCAGACCTCTCCTGTCTTGCCTGCTGCTCCCCTCAGCAGTGTATTTCGTCCATCTGCCTGTTCTGCTCCCCACTCTGTCTCTGTCCTCTCACTGCCCCTGCACCTTTAGCCTGTACCCCAGTTCTGTATGCATAAATAAATAATATAAAAAGAGAGAGAGAGAAGTGGGATTAAGGAAGCAGCTGGAATAAAAGGGAGATTAGAGGTGGCAAAAATAACTATGAGTTCACAGTTCCTATCCAGGGCCAGTGATTAGGACTTGTTTTGGGTCCCAGGCCTGTTCAAGTGATTTCCATATCCAGCCCCACCCAGCTGAATCTGAAATCAACTAATTTCTATATTTGGCAATCTGTTTTGTGAGCAGTCAGAATCTTTTGTAGAACACATAAATGCCTTGCACCTGTGGCCTTAAAACACAAAATGAGCTGTAGGTAGACACTTGTAGCTGTTTCTATTTTGACTGTCTGGTGACATTCGCATGACATTTAGCTTACTGAGGGTATCTAAGAGGTTTTTCCTAGGTGCCTCCTGACCTCTTTGTACAATCTTATGCCTGTTTACTATGCTTTATCCTATTTTAATAAGACTAGTAGATCCTATTCTCTACTGATTCCACACAGAATCTTGGATGTGACAAAGTAAGATTTACCTGTCAATTACAAATATTGCTAAAATAGTAAAAACAAGTGGTAAGTATAAACCAGTGCTATTCTAGACCCTATATACAATAACTCTACAACAAGGTAGGTAACATTGTAACCCATAACTGCATTTTGAAGATGAGAAAGTATCAAGGGCATTGAACAACTTAGCAGAGGTCACATAGCTTAGAAGAAACAGGTCCAGAATATAAATGCAATTGCCAAGCATTCTGAATCTAGGAATATTTCTTTTTAAGCAATACTATGCCTACTTTCTATACTCACTGATGCCTTTGAATTATCAGAATAATAGTAAATAATTATGTTCCTTTTTTAACAGCAATGGGATTTATTTAACAAACAGGAAATAAGATCTCCTTTTTTAATGTATTTTTTTTAATTGAAGTAACATTGGTTTACAATAGTGTATATGACTTAGAGGTATAGGATCATATGTCTTCAGATATATGTTGCCACCCACTATCAAGGCACCTATAAACTTCTTCCATAGTCCATTGGATCCCCTCCTCTTTAGCTCCCTACCCAAGAACATGTGCCTATGGTAGCAAAATTCTCAACCAATATATTCTACACAAGCCTGCTGCTCAGGCAACTGGATATTACTTGAATAGTTTCTTAGGAACTACTAGGAGGACTCACTCAGTCAAGACATTTGAAAAACAGTGATAGGACCTGAATAGAGGAATTGTTTGTCTTAATTGTGTTGTCAGACTTATCACTACCTAACAGATTTTTCCCAAAACCTTTCCCTCAAAAAAACTCAGAAATGGATTTGACAAAAATTTTCTGCCAAATGTAGACAAAAATTCATTTACAGTGCCACTGAAAAACTTACCCATGCTTTGATTCCAACTTGAGTTTACAATATATCATCAAGTCTCAAACTGCATTTCCCATACAAAGAATGAAGGTTATGCCTACTACGAGTGAGATGAAATGATCTCAAATACCTTTTTCTAATTATAAAGTATAGAAGTCATGTGCGGTGGCCTATAATTTGTGGCACAGACTGACCCATGAAAGGTCACTGAGAATCACATGAAGTAAGATGAGAGGATTTGTTTATTCAGTCTCAAACAACTGAAGCACCTTTCATCTTTGGTTGGATGATTGCTGTTGAGCATTTTACTTCCCTTATGAATTAAAGAAACTTTAATTCCTATCTAAAAGGATTAATGGTTTACTACTAGTTACTGGTTGATATAGTACCTAAGCTCCCCAGGGCTAATGACTGTGCAGGACCTACAGTATTATTCCAGACCAATCATTGCTCAGTCATCTCTTTCAAGGTAGATTCTAACCAATAAGAAGAAGCCTGTTTCTGGGTTGAAAGCTAAGTGCCCCATATATGTCTGGGTGAGGCCCAAGCAGTTACATTCCTGAGAAGAAAGCTCCTGGGTGGTAAGTTGAATATTTCTGGTCAGAGTAAAAGTCACATTTATATTATGTCTAAA